TTTTTTTAAGTGGAATATGTTAGTACTAACTTCACAAACTATTTAAAGATGTGATTTTTCTTTATCGGTTTGGAGTTGAGTTGAAATGTACAGCTGTTAATAAGCCAAAATAAACAAAGTTCATGAACCTTTCAAGTTTAGACAGAACGTTATTGTCGCTATCCGTGGTGCTGAAATCAGAAAGGTGCAAGTTGCCGGTCATTTGGAGGGTGCATCAGGGGACTTAATTGGGGCACGGTCGACAAAGACAAGTGTTTTCCCTGGAAATTTGACATACAATTCATGCTAGATCTTTTTACTTAGTGGAGAATGGTGTAAAGTTTGTTTTATCACATTTAGCAAGGTTATTCGACCGCTTATTCAATCACCTTCGCTCTCATACTTTTAGAAATTAGGAAAATGTGTTTATTTTATGTCATAATAGTAGTAAGTTCTTGCTGTATCTTTCTGGTGTCGAAATATTTTCAATAAGGTCTGTCAATTCTAACTCGTGTACTTTTAGACGGGGTATCACCAAGAGGAAAGTTATGATTTTTTTTCTTTGTTAACTGAGAAATAATCAGAATGGGAACAGGAAAAAAAATCCTTTGAAATGCACCATAACATATAAGTTAACAGGGTTATGTTCATAATTAATGAGAAGTTGATCGCCTTGGACGGGTGGGTAGTCATTTAATTGTTGCTGTTCCTAAAGCTTAAATGCAGTTATTTTACATTACCAGATGGTGGCACTGAAGACCATGACATCTAGATGTTATTTCTAAAGGCATAAGACTCCACCCAGAAACAGAGGATGATCTTTCTCTGGGCTTTGTAACAAAGAGGCGCAGAGCGAGAGAGAAAGGGCGAAAAATTTATTAGGCTGACTTGTTGTGATTGCCTTTGTTTGCGGATATCTGACGGTTGCTGGTGGACACAAAGTGTGCCTGATTTCGGTGGATTTAATCATGCATTTCCCAACAAAAACAGATATTTTGCGGGCTTATTCTGTGGCCGTGCTGCTGAATTATTGCTGGGAAGCGGTGTCTGGACAGCTCTCGTACTCTGTATCGGAGGAGGAAAATACTGGGACATCTGTTGGAAATATTGCCAAAGATCTAAATCTCAATGTACAGGATTTAGAGTCTCGTAGGTTTCAGATTGTTAGTGGATCACAGAAGAAGTATTTCGATGTGAATTTAAAAACTGGTGTTCTTTATGTCAGCGAAAGAATCGACCGCGAGGAGCTTTGTGGAAGGGCTTCAAAATGTACTGTCAATGTAGAGGCGGTGATCAACGTCCCGCTGAAGCTTTATCGCTTAGAGATAAATATAAAAGATATAAACGACAACGCACCAGTTTTCTCTGAGAAGCTGCAGTCGCTTGATGTTCCAGAAAATACTTTACCGGGAGTCAAATTTGGACTGATAGAGGCATCAGATTTGGATGTTGGTAAAAACGGTGTTAATACATATAAACTTAGTAATAACGATTATTTTACATTAGATATTCATAAAGGAGAAGACAGCGTGTCTGCTGAGTTAGTACTGCAGAAATCGTTAGACAGAGAGCAGGATTCTGTTATAAAACTCACGCTGACTGCAGTAGACGGAGGAAACCCACCCAAGTCAGGGACATCGCTTATTATCATTTCCGTGATGGATACTAATGACAACCATCCCGTGTTCAGTAAGTCTTTGTACAAAATTAAAATTCCTGAAAACTTGTCCAGTGGGTCGACAGTGATTACGCTGAATGCAACAGACACAGATGAGGGTTCAAACAGTGAAATTGAATATTCTTTGAGAAAAAAAGGCCAAGATCATATTTTAGATTTATTTGAAATTAATTCAAAAACGGGAGTGATTTCAATTAAGGGTAAAGTCGATTATGAAGAAAATCGTGCATTTGAGATCCATGCGGAGGCAAGTGACAAGGGTCAGCCTCCGATGTCTGCTCATTGCAAAGTGTTGGTAGAAGTGCTGGATCTAAATGACAACGCTCCTGAGATCACGGTAACGTCACTACTAAATACAGTGAAAGAAGACGCGGAAGTAGGTGCAGCCATTGCACTTGTCTCGGTTTTGGATAAAGATGGTGGGAATAACGGGGCAGTGAAAGCTGTGATTGTAAATAAGACTCCATTTAAACTGGACACAAACTATAGAAATTATTACTCTTTAGTGGTTACTGGTCCGCTTGACAGAGAAACTACAGACGAGTACAATGTTACTATAATAGCAACTGATGAAGGAGCTCCTCCTCTCTCCAGCACCAGCATAATTAGTGTTCACGTTTCTGATGTCAATGACAACTCGCCTCGCTTCTCTGATCCGATACTTAATATTTATGTTAAAGAAAACAGTCCAGTAGGAGCAGTCATTAAAAC